ACCTTTTCATTCCGCGACTGTACATAACTATCAGACATTATACTATTTAGTTAGAAGGTCAGTAAGATCCATCAATCTGCATAGGGAAAGTCCAATTGAAAACAAACAAATTCCCTATCTAGCCCTGCCAATCAGAAGGCTGAATAAACCAGAGAAAATTATTCACAAACCGTTCGAACATTGATATCCAGTCCGGTTGAATTCAGTTTAATCCGGTTATAACAAGACTGCGCTGGTGCAAACCAGATTTATCCGTTAAAAGCTGATCCTTATAGCCTGTAGAAATTCTGTGGCACACGTATCGACCGATCGCAACTTCTTTACTGGGTCGTGAGGTAGGTACTTAACCTGTAATGGGCGTGATGTAGTCTATTAGACCTTTTTTTTGTTAATAGGCATACACTTAATATGGCCAATATAGCCGCAACTCGGTTAACTACGTGTTTTCTTCAAGCATAGCCCCATCTAATTTTGCTTGGCCTAGTTATTGTCTGAAAGAAAATGTAATTTCGTGATAAGTTCACTTCACACTATATGTCTTAGTTATGTTCAAATAAATATCAAATGCAGGTATTTAGATTCTTAAAGTCACATTCCTAGAGCCTTTAATATATTAGGTACACTTGAGTTCATCGCCTTCTCAAGCACCTTAATACAGCGAAAATTGGATCTTTAGTAATACGAGACTCCAGTGAATCGTGGATTTTGTTTTAAAAGTCGACAGCTCAGTTTACTGTGATTTAAAGTAGCTCACTTACGTTAAGAAGGCATTTTAACATTCTATTACTACAATCTCTACTGGTATATTTCTATATGTNTGTCATTATTAAAATTTGACAATTGTCAAACCTCTCCCCCCGCAAAAAGTGGTTGATCGTGTTCCCTTAGAAATCTTGTAGGTTTCGTGTCCAGTGGTTTATTCGTCCAAGGTACTTACAAATCATCAAATGCTTTTAAGGAGCCTATACATGACGTCTCATTCTTTTTTGCCCTACCTGCGTTTCGAGACAAACATTTGGCAAGTGCTGAGAAGAAGCGCCGCAACAAACTCAGTCACCTACCACTGTCTGCCGGTTTAAAATATAAAAAGTATTCATGTTAAAGTAACGTTGCTTGTTCATTTCAAACGATATCGACGTCCACTGCTGGACAAAGGCCTCCCCTAAGGTTTTTCACGAACGGTCTTGCGCTGCCCGCATCCAGGTGTCAGATGATCGTCGATCTACCTAGTGGGAGGCCTGTCCTCATTACGCCTACGTACGTATCTATTAGAATAACGCCATGAAAAAAATTGTCATGATTGTCGTTTTATTTCATGGTTTTTAAAATAGGTTTTATTAGATAAGGTTTGAATAGGAGAAGATATTTTAGGAAAGGAACACGTAAATAAATGAGGTAACATCTAAATCTTTTGACGATGACCATGAAAATGATAAAGTAGTGAAAGAAAAGATGTCAATATTAATCTTAAAAGAAAAACTATAAAACCGACCTCACTCCCTCCCTATCACAGTTAGCGGACGGTTTTTCAGAACGGCAGCAAATTGCGAACTTTCCCTCCACTGTGTCCGTTTTAATTATCATATTCCGAATAATTATACGGAGCCGCGTGTAATTCCGTTTGTGCTCCCCGGTGGTTTACGGACAATAAATAGAGTGACGCGCTTCAAATTTATTGCACGCGTTTAGTTTTGGTGGATATGAGAAGTTACTACAAACACAAAATATCATAAACGTACGACTTTGTTCTGTTGATTAAAAAAAAGATTAAAAAGATTAAAGATCATTTATTCACCGGGACAAGCTAATACAACAAGGTAGATGTTAAAGTAGTTACAGCTCAGCATATCTCACCAGCAAAGCTAGTGTGTGATATTATTACATTGAATGTGTGATATTATTACGTTGTGAGTAATGAATTGTATTAACTACCACAGCCACCTCTTAGCCTCTAAGAAAATCTATGATAAACCAGTTAATTGGTTAATAGACACATGGATTTGGCATAAACACTCATGTTCATCTCACAAAACAAGATTCATATCCGTGACATCAATAAAGGTTCTAGGTGGTAAACCATCAGCCCATGTGGCAGTTGTTACGAAACATAAACCAAAACCAAAAACTTGGGCAAAATAAAACTTATGTATTTAGGAAAAACTTTAATAGTGCGACGCACATAACAGATTTATAGAGGACCTACAAACGAGTAATAAAATTCTAATAATATTCCATAAAAAAGTTGACGTTTAATCTGCCGCTTCATTATAAAAAATCGCTCAATTTTGAAAATATTTCCTATATTTATTGCCCTTTATTTGTCAAAATTAAAATAATCTTGACAAATAGACTCCCCTCGCATTCCGCAGCCCTCAAGTCGATCTAAGATCGAACTCACGATATTTTCACCCTCCGGATGTACATTCGATGCAAAAAGACGAGGAAAATAAAAATATTCTCAAAAATAGTTTTATTAGACACTATTTCAGTTTTCGATATGCTATTGGTGACGTTCAATGTCGCTGTACCTATATTAACTGGGTCAATATTGTGTACCTGCCTGAATTTTTAAAGACCTAATGTGAATGCGCTAATGTGGTAATTCAATCATAGAGAGGACTGAAAAACATACAATTCCTGAGCATGAGCATGTTGGTTTAATTGAGACATGTTTTCCTTTGAGATTTTAAATAAAGAAAAAGTTCTGATAAGACTTTTTGTTCTTAACTGTACCCAATAGATCCACTTAAGCATCTGGCTTTGATATGAAAAAAATTAAAGCCAAATATCGGAAGCATACTATAAGAGGGTACTATCCCAACTTTTCGATTAAAAGTTTAGCTTTAAAAGAAATCGAAAAATAAATAGCAATAAAACCAGTGCTATCAAAATAAGCATGCTTTTAATTATACTTCTAAGAGTGGATTCGAGTTCGACCAAACAAGAGTAAATTAATCTCAGAATAAATCGCCAGTTTTGACATATTACCCATACTGAAACTGTCAATGTGCCAGTTATACCAGGAGTTATTCTCGGATAAAATTTTGGTCGAATCGGGCCTAAATGTTGTTATTTTACGTAAAAGTTTCAAAGACGATGGTACGAGTAATTTTCACCACAACAAAACAAGAACAAGCTTTTGACAGGTGTTAACATGTTAACTTGTCTTTCCAGCATCAGGACAGCGATCAAGCCTCGTTGACGAGAAGAGCTTAAAAGCTCACGTCTACCTCCAACCGGATATGTTTGAATGTAAATATTTTGTGTCCTAAGGTACAAGGCACCAGCGAACCTAATAAAAAAGGCTCTATAAAAATGTCCATGTTTTTCTTCTGGGCTGATTTCCCAATTTATTTTCTACTATAACAAAAATCGCATCTGCCTAAAATGTCACACACGATGTCACAATGTTTTTACAATCACAACTCATTAACATAATATACCATTGAGTATCATGGTCAAAGAGTGACGGTTCTAGTAAATTTAATAACGGAGAATCCTCGAAGTCTATTCCAAACTTAACCTAACAGTTATGAACGATTTCACGTTCGCAATACAATACAAGAGTACGTCTTGTGCAAGAACTTTAAATAAATAAATACTAGAAAATTAACTGAGAAAGAATATGCGTTTGTCCGATAATTCGTAATATTTAAACCCGCGATTTCCCTTCATTTTGTGCCACCTACCACGGTCCCGGACGAACGTACTTTGATCCACCACCTGTAAACTCGTTTGATGGTTTTAAAACGAAAACAACGCGGGCGACTCAAAAACACGCTTCAAGTATCAACATCGTTTAGTTTTTACGCTAAGGGCCGTCTTTGAAGTTTGCGGAACTCAAAATAATCCTTTTGACATGTAATGCAATTGAGCAGGCAGTCATGGCCATGGTAGGCTTTTAGAAGTCAAAGCTGAAAACCTTTTAAAAGTGTACTTAAATATTATTTTCTTATAAACAAAACTAATATTGCATGGCTCATGAAAGATGTTTTCAATTTAATTTATTCAGCCCATATGTTGTCCTGAAATGGTGGTAGCGCTAGCTATATTTAGAACGTGTATAAATAGCCCTGGAAAAAGCCTAAGTACTGAATAATAGTATAAGTACTCGTAATACGTTGACTTTGACTCATTTATTAAAAAATAAAGGCGACCTCGTAAAAAGATAAAGGATATTACGACTTAACAAAAACAATGTTAATTAGCATAAGCTCTTAATCTAGACTGACTAATTATAATCTAAGCCACCTACGGACTAACATTGCAACAAAATGTAAAATAACATTAGTCAAAGTTGAACGTCATGTTGACAGAACCATAACACTGTCGTAATATAGATAAAGAGTAATGACATCACTAAAAATTACTACTATATCTCAAGTAGGTCAACAGTTTTGGTTTAAGAGACCGAGTCTCAATATTTTGAAGACATTGTCAAAGGGTTAAAATTTTCTTCTGAGTGTAACTTTTGAACAGCATACTCTACAAAAATATAATTATCCATAAAACATCTAGACTTTGATAGATCTGTATTACCTACCTTAGCAAACTTTTGCTCAAAATTCATTATTATAATTAAATTACTCATAGATAGAGGCCGCGTACCGGACAACGCAGCGTGGGACGTCCACCCACAAAGTGGACCGACGACATCATAAAGGTGGCAGGAAGGCGCTGGACGCAAGCCGCTACCAACCGGGCAACATGGAAAGCATTGGGGGAGGTCTATGTTCAGTAGTGGACGTCCTATGGCTGAGATGATGATGATGATGGGATGCAAAATTGAGAGGTATGTATCTCGCGTACATCAAGAATGTGTAGGTACTACAAAAATAAATCATTGTACACTATCTCCTAGCATATTAATTTATCATAACTCATTCACATAAAGATTGTCCCCTAAGCCTACTTTAGTAATTTTTACTCACTGTTATCTTTATTAGATCATGCTCAAAATTGTATATAAATAAGAACAGATTGTGATTTTATTTATTCTTAATTTCGAATTCACAATGAACGCTCGACTTTTTATTTTGTTTTCTTTTATCACTCTAATTTGTGCACATCCCAAAATTAAAAGAGGTGTGCAACCACTGAATGCAGTCTCTGAAGACACGGAATATGGAGACAAACAAGTAAAACAATCACTAGAAAAGGAAAAAGATGAGATAAGACAGATTCAGTCTGATGAACAGAAAAACAGTGATGTGGACCCTAAAGAATTTGAAGAAACATTAAATGGAAAGAAATTTGTCTGTACTTGGCATCCTAGATCTGAGAGTCAGTCAGAAGAATCGAAAGAGTCCCACGAAAGTGCATCTGAATCTAAAGAATTTACAAAACGTGAATTTGGTGCTAAACAATTTGAGAAATTTGTGAATGGACGAAAATATATATGTGTATTGAGTTATAAAACCGAAAGTCACTCTGAAGAATCACGTAAGTCACATGAGAATGGATCCGACGAAGCAAGTGAAGAAGAAGCACTGCAAAACGATAAACAAAATAGAAAGAAACGATCTAATGAATACAAAATAAACGAAGACGAACCGAAACAATTCAACGACACTTTCAATGGAAGACAATATGTTTGTGTTCGACAGTCGAACTCTGAGAATCATTCCAACGAAACTGAAGAATCGAAGGAGTCTCATGAGAGTAATTCTACTGAGCATGAAAAATCGAAAGAATCACACGAAAGTGGATATGAGTCAGAAGAATTTGCGGAACGTGAAAATACCACTAAGCAGTATGAAAAAAATTTTAACGGACGAAAATATATTTGTGTATGGCGATCAAGCTTCGAAAAACATTCTAAAGAATCTGAAGAATCAAAGGAATCCCATGAAGAATCAAATGAGTCCCATGAACATAGCTCTGAGCATAAAGAATCAAAGGAGTCCCATGAGAGTGGATCTGAGCATGAAGAATCAAAGGAATCCCATGAAAGTGAAGAATCAAAGGAGTCCCATGACAGTGAAGAATCACATGAGTCTCATGAACATAGCTCCGAGCACGAAAAATCAAATGAGTCACATGAAAACAAATCCGAAGAATAGATACTAGCGTCAATAAAAAAGTATACCGTATTAGCTTTAGACATAGCGCGTCCCTTAAAGTATAGTAATATGTTTCCGTCCTACCCTATTTAAAACTGTAGCAATTAGATACCATAACCAATAAAATTGTTTATTCAAAGGCAGAACATTTTCATTTTAACTCAATTATCTTTAATTAACTGTGTTAAGGCTTAAGATGGTTTGGCATCAATAAATAGAAACTAAATACCTAGTTGAGGCAAAAAAGTAACATCAAGTTGGAGGCTTCTAGTTTTGACAGCTCGTGTAAAAATACATAAATAGTACCTACACCATTTTGTGCGTTAATAAAATATTATAAGGTATGAACTTTTTCAAAACTTGTTCAATGAACAGAATAAAGATGAATAAGGCCGTCTAATAAATTATTCCGAATGTTTTATAGAGTTAATTTTTTTTTTACTTGTTTGTACCATTAGATCTCCTGCATCGTTGTCTGTGGTAAAATGCAGTCCCCCTAACTCGAATTTATTATTATTAAATGCCTAATAAAGTAATTCTTATTTATAGAGTTTTTTATTACGTGGAAACCCCTAACCTACTAGCGCTGCCACAATCATATGCATCAGACGAAAATTAATTCTATTTGTATTATTATACTGTTTGTAGTCTTTTATTTGTTTGTTTTAATACAATATTTTTATTATTTTTCTTGAATTATAATGTCCAGGTAAGTCCAAAAGACGTCTAGAGGAAAACACGTGGGTTTTCCTCTAACTGTCTGGCGCGTACTAAACTGGTTTAACCGCGCCATCATCCAACTTTAGGAGACAGGGTCCGCTTAGAATTTACAAAACAAAAGGTAGGTGTGTAACCACACTGTTGGCACTATCTTGTGATTGATATAACAAAAATCATGACTATTAAGATCTTGTATAACACGGTGACTAAAAAGATAAACATAAATATGCCGTGATCACGAGGACAATATTTAATTTTGTAACTTTATTTATGTTCTACTTCAATTCTATTTTTTCAAATGCGTATGACTCTGACGGAATTCAGTCTATTATAGGTAGGTACTTACAATGTTTTTATAGATTATAAGATTGTATTCATACGTTTGGTTGGACATTATTCTCTTATAAAACTTCAAACACAGTTAATCGCACGATGAATACTGATCTCAAATGACATGTCTATACTAAATGTCAATTTAAACTAGTGATCAATGCGCGTTAAAATTTTTGATGGGGTAAAATGTAAATAATTAACTCATAACTACTTACAGCATCGCAATTTTCCTAATGCGTTCATAATTGTATTTCCCGTCATCACTCATTATAGTATCACTACGATTGAGTCACATTTAACCCCTAGTCTAATACCCTTCATCTTTATAAACAAAACAAAAGCATCAACACTGCCAGTCTCAAACAAAACCAATATGTTGCCTCACGTATTCTGTGTATTCGCGTGTGTTGTGTTCGTACAATCCACTCCTATTAAGGGTGGTACCGTAGACTTAGCTAATCCTGAGCAAGCAAAAGGTTATGATCATAGTACAATATTGAAAGAACTTGCAAGACTGGACGGATTGACCACTGAGAAGGTTATAACAGAAGATGCTGTTGCCAAAGACGAAGAAAAAGCTGAAGATAAGGATGGAGAATCAAATTCAAGAGTCAAAAGAGAAGACAAACCTGTTATATCTCTAGATAATAATATTAGCAGTACTGATGCGAAGAACAATACTGATGTTGGCAATGGTATAGAGGACGTCAAAGACAGGCCAGACATCGATACAATACTGACAGTGTTCAATAACAAAATCGGAATTTCGAAGAAGTATTACTTCAAAAATATATACAGAGAGGTGAACAATGGGAGGTATAAGTGCAAAATTGGGATAACTACTGGAAATGTCATATTCTACTACAGATGTATTTTAGAAAGGTGAGTTGAGTGAATGAGTTCATGATCCAGAATGTATAAAAATATAAATATTGAGGATTTTTTTCCAGTTTTAGACTATAGTTATAAAAAAATATATTTTACATTGCCCTAGATTTAATAGCGTAGGAAATTAACTTAAAACACTTTAGCCTTAAACAGAAAAATGTACGTATAGAACATACATAATTTTAAAACTGTATCGTAATTTTTAAAGAGATAGGTATGAACAAAATAGGTATGAACAATGCAATCTTAATAACATAAAATAATATTTATTTGTAGTGTACATTAATTATTAAATTTTCGTATATTCGAAATTAATTGTCCGTCTATGGTTATGAATTAACCTTGTCCGTCTGTTTATGTTTTCACTCTTATATCGCTATTACAATGATGCTCTTTTGTATAGAGATAAATGGTACCTAGGAGAAAGACATGGTCTACCTTTTGTCTTTGAAAACTGTTTAGGTCAGTAAAGTTCGCGGTCATAAGAGTACAATAAAATGTGTAACTAATAATAATAGTTGTTTTTGTTTTGTTTCAGTAACGGCATCTCGGGCGAGGGCCTGATCGAGGCGGGCGAAGGCGATATGTTTGACATCGCATAACATTATTTTAATGTAGTTAATAATAAATTATTTATAAATATATTATCATTGTTATTTTATTTTACAATTTAAAATTCAAATTCAAAACTATTTAGTACTTAGTTAGGTCCTTTTCAGGGCACTTGCACAAGTCCCAAGAATAGCTTGCCACCATTTTGGGACAACATATTCATTCGAACTCAGCATCTTTAAGAGCATCTAAGCATTTGCTGGGAGGTATCAGATAGTTATTATTACAGGTTCACTGACATACCCACCTACTTCTTTTTTGAGAAAAAAAAATACGTTAAATTACATACCTACCTAGCGGGGACAGGGTAGGTCATGTGGGACTCACCAAGTCAAAAAGACAAGGCACACCCACTAAAATATACTGGTCCTCGGCCATTCGCCTTAAGTGGTAAGGAACTGTGGGACTCCAGACAAAGCTTTCACTACTAAAGTCCCTCTTGGTGGTTGCCCGCCTACAAGCCTCAGGACGAGGGTTGACGGAAGCATCTGGGAGCATACAAGCTGTTCCCGTCGGACGGTGGACTGACAAGTGACCTTATTCAAAAGACAAAGCAATGGTCTCTGTGAGCGCTATTACTATTAATATTTCACAAGGCGTTTAGTCACCATTGTGCAAACGCAAGTATAACATTTACACTTTTATTGTAATGCAATAAAATACTGTCATTATTTACTAATACTATAACACAGCACAGTAGTATTTTTAACATTAACTAGTATCCTTGATGGCATACAAGTAATTTAAATGCAGAAAGTAGTCTAACGCAGTCTAGTTTTCTTTAAAATAACTACCTTACTTAATGTACAGCCGATAGCACATCAGACTACATTTTTATTGCCAAATCACGCTAATTACAATCATAATAAAGATGACAAAATGTTGGCATAGGAATGGCGAATATCAAGCTTCCCCAGCCCAACAAGCCAGCGCGAGGGAGTATGCCAAATCCCCCATTTTTGCTTCTAGTAAATTTGAAAGCGTCATGCTTCTGCAGTGACGACTAAATGACCTAATGATGAAGTTTATTTATTTATTTTATAGAAACCAACAGCGATACATTGAAAATGTTAGTTATTAAAACACACATTTTGTAGGGGTTAGTTCCCTTACACTTGGTGATAGTAGTGGTATGTTGATGTTGTTAAGTTAGAATGTAGTTGTTGAGTACAAATAGGATAAGTTGTTCGGGAGCGGAATGTTAAATGAAAGTGTCCGTCACCGATGAGCGTGTTTATTGCACTGAAAAATATTATAACAATTGAGTTAAGCGTTGACGGTAAAATGCGGTGTCGGCGAAATATAAGATGTCGAGTGTGCTCGTACATGCTGCCAAATTTTAAGAAAAGAAGAAAAATAAAAGTTTATGGCGATGACGCCTTATCTAGTTTACGAGCAGCAGATACGATCACCTCGTCTACACTATCGATATCCGCGGTCTGCTCGCTGTGCCTCGTGCGGAGCGGCTGCGCGGCGCTGCTCGAGTCTTGCTGCTCTCGACGGTTCACGCTGCAGCCTCGATACCTTCTTCTTAAGCGTAGAGTCCCCCACACAAGAAATGCAGCAATGATGAATCCAATTACAGAGTACAATACATAATTGTGTTTCTCGTGTGTGAGTGATTGAACACTTAAAGCTTCTTGTTGTTCCTTGATGTTGTCAATTTTGTTTTTCAGTAATGTTAGAGCTTCCTTGTGGTCTTCAGGGACAAATGTGTGATTGAAGTCGGTGAGAATGTGGTTTATGCTCGATTCGCGTATGTACATCGTTTCTTCGCTTGTTGTTAGTTTTAGTTCACTGTGGTAGTCATTGCGCGCGTGAATGATGAAACTGTCTCCTTTCAGCATGCAACCGAGGCCGAGTGATAAGATTCCCGTGCCGCGTAGGTGTTGTGACGTAACTCCAGCTGGACAGAAAATGCGCGTAGTGCAGTCTTCGCAACAGGAGAATAGCCACGCGCCGCGATTGTGTAATCGCACCCACTTGTCGTTGCAATTTGATACTCTTGTACGGCATGTCGATAAGTTGCCATTGTTTAATAATTGCGCCTCACACAATGTGTCGGCGACTTTTATGTTATAAATAGGTTGATTTATAACACATAATAGTTTGTTATCTTGCAATGATATGCAGGATGTTACATCTCGCTCTTCCAGAAGTACTATCATGTCTCTCCTTAGGTTGACAGCGAGGTATTCTGATGTAGATTCAATATGTTTTTCTCTGTTTTCAGTTATTTGTGGTATAGGAATGATGCGGTTGAGTTCGTATTGTTCATTGTTTATGAGTGGTAGCTTCACTTCAAATAGTAGGTATGTACTCGTTAAACGAACGTGTACACGCGCTAGCTTGTACAGTCCCCGAGTACAATGACGTGTGTTGACACAAGGCAGTGATAAGTCGCTTGGCAACTGGCCGGAGATGATGTTGAGCTGCTCCTCAAATTGATCAGGCTTGATCAGATGGGTGTCGACTCTCCCGTCCCTTACGTCAGTCACCAAGTCCAGTAGTTGTTGTTGTATTTGCCGTATATTGGATAATATCAGGTTTACGGCAAGGGCGGTAGCTGTTATGTACAGGGCGTTGTCTTGCTTGAGTTGTATACGTTCTTCTGCTTCTGTGAGATGTTTGTTGATGATGATGAATTGCCTGTTCATCACTTCCTCGTTTCTCTTGAGAAGATTGTATTCACTTTCGATGATAGATGTGTGATTTTTGTAGAGGTTCAGAAGATGATTTTCATTAGATTGTATGATTTTGATGTCTTTCTCGTACTGAGTAGCAAATCTTTCATCTAGTGTTCCAAATAAAGAATTTGCTATGTATCCGATTGCGTTCACAAGTCCTCTTTTGTGACGCGAAAGTCCATGTTCTGAATGTAAGATCTCATTGTAGTGTTGAATTTCGTTGAGTTCATGTTGAAATTGAGAAGAAATTGTAAGAAACGCGGCTTCCTTTTTGCAAAGTGAGGTCAAATGATTGACATAGTTTTGTATGTTGTCCAAACTTCGCCAGTACGTTGTCATGTTGTAATATACAACCATTTTCCACTCGTCTTGTATTATTTGTATATCAGCCACCTTGTCAAAGTAAACAAGTCGTGAGGGGCTGAGCTCTGTTACGTTGACCATGTCTTGCATACTAGGTCCAACACACATTGTAAATATCATGAGCAGCGAACAAAATAAGCTGTTGAAGTGTTTTGTGCTGTTCTTGGTACTTCTACGTTTACGTTGTGTTGTTTCGTTGTTAGCAGGCGGGTTGGTTGTGGTAGCGATGTTAGTCGGCTCCAAAGGAAGTCGTGACAATTTCGTAATTGGTCGTTTCATGTTGCTTGATTTAGTTTTCAGTGTGACGACGCGTACACGACCGTCAGGCCCAGGATGTGTTTCTAGTACTCGGCCCAGCATCCATTTGGCAGGAGGGATGTTGTCCTCTTTCACAAGAACGACGTCTCCAATTTCTAAGTTAGTTGTAGGAAAATGCCACTTGCTTCTTATTTGCAGGGTTTGGAGATAGTCAGCGGACCACCGTTTCCAGAAGTCCTTAAACATTTTCTCCGTAAGTTGCCATCTTTTTGTGAGTGTCGTGTCCTGGCCTTCAGTTGATAGTGGTGGTTCTAAAGTTGGCTCGCCGATCAAGAAATGAGCTGGGGTCAAGCAGTCAATGTTGTCGATGTTTTCTGTTAACGCTACCAGAGGCCGAGAGTTGAGGCACCCTTCTATTTGTGTTAGCAGTGTGGTGAACTCCTCAAATGTTAATTTTTGGTCCCCAAGTACTCGTTTGAGATGATGTTTGAGACTCTTGACCGCTGCTTCCCAGAGACCGCCAGCCGTGGGCCAGGAAGGAGCATTGAAATGCCATTCAATGCCCCACTCCGACAGGTTAGTGATGACGTCATTGTTTATGTAGTATTCCAGTGCCTCCCTTCGTTGCTTTTCCAGAGTCCGTGCCGCGCCCACAAAGTTCGTGCCGTTATCGCTGTATATGTGTTGGGGCTTTCCTCTACGGGCACAGAAACGTTTCAAGGCGTTCAAGAAGGCAGCTGTGCTGAGATCGGACACCAGTTCGAGGTGAAGAGCTTTCGTACACAAGCACACGAACACCGCTACGTAGGCTTTCAATGTCTTGATACCTCTGCCTTTATTTGCTTTGACTTCCACATGTCCAGTGAAATCAACACCGGTGTGAGTGAACGGTCGGGATGGGGTGACACGTTCTGGTGGTAAGTCTGCCATGAGTTGATGGTTGGGTGCAGATTTGAAGCGATGACACGTGATGCACCGTGAAAGTTGTTTCTTCACTGCTCGTAGGCCACTGATTATCCAATATCTATTGCGGAGATACGTTAGAGTTAATCTGGCTCCTCCGTGTAGGGTCGTCTTGTGAGCTTGATCAATCAATAACTCCGTTAACTTGTCATTGTAGGGCAAGATAATAGGATGTTTTTGTTCTTGACTCAAGTTTGCGTTTCCCAGTCGTCCACCGACACGTAGGATTTTGTTTTCATCCAGGATGGGGTTCAAACTGAGAATGCTGCTAGTTGATCTCACCCGATTGTGTTTATTTAATTGTGCAATATCGTCAGCGAAGTGATTAATTTGTATTGCCTTGATAATTGCATTATGTGCGGGTTTCAGGTCACTCGTTGTTAAGTACGATGTATGTTTGGCATTTTTGACGTCACGTGCATTGTTTATGAATCGAAATATCCAACTTAGGATTCGAGTTACACGCGCCATAGAGCTATTGTTGTGTAGAAGTGACTCAATTAATGGCGCAGATTGTTGAGACACACAAACTTGTTTCATCCTTTTCAGTTCAGCATCAGTATGAAATGTTTCTTGTTTTGGATGTTCGTTGCTGTTTAGCCAGATGGGGCCTTTCCACCAAAGGGGATGTGATATGAGTTGTGATGGTGTCAGTCCTCTGCTGGCACAGTCCACAGGGTTGTCTTCGGATTTTAAATGTTTCCAACAGGCAGCAGGCATGGTTTCTGTTATCTTCACCACT